CGACAACCGACATGATTTGACATATTTTGGTAAAAACCACGTTGAAATCCGCCAGGTCGTTTTCGAAATAACCGCATCCTACTAAACCGCGATTTTCCGCGAAACTATTTGGAATATGGAAAAAATAAAATATGCCACTCATTAAGAACACATCAGGCTACCACCTGTCCAAATTTCAATTTCGTACGATAGTTTTCGAGAAAAAAAATCGCAAAGTTGACACAGTTGCCGGTACCGTCAAAAAACCGGTACTTTTTTCACTTAACTCGCGATAAAAAGAAAACCGCTGATCCGAAAATTTTCAAATTAACTTATGTTACGTAGAAATGTTCAGTGATTACAACAAACTTTGTCGCAATTTTTTTCATCGATCGGTTGCAAAGATATCGATCTCTAAAGTGAGGGGCCTTGACTTTTTGCACGGATAGTAGAGTATTTAATAACTCTCCCTCACCAAATTCTCCAGATCCCCTATCAATACATCATTAGCCGCTGCAGCCTCCGACGCCTCCGACACAAGAAAATCAATGTAGATCTGTGTATCATCAGCGAAACAATGCATTTTACAGTTCCTCGCCGAGGAATGCAAGTTAAACGTGTAAATAATAAATAATAGTGGCCCCAATATGGATCCCTGAGGAACTCCACAAGGAACCGGAAGGGAATCCGAGTATTCGTTGCCCAACCGAACCAACTGACGGCGACCAAACAGGTAACTCCTCAAAAGATCCACAGAACAATTTTCGAAACCAATATGACCCAAAATGGACAGCAGTAACTCGTGATTAATAGTGTCAAAAGCTTTACCGTAGTCAAGCAAAACCAATGCACACACTTCAACCTCATTTTCTCCTAAATTGGATTATTAACATATACCTTGCGATGCATTGTTTTAATGAGAAGATTTTGAGTTTTTATTTACGGTATAAATCATTTCTTCATTGCTAGAAATAGACCGGAAGTGATTTTTTAAAATTGATATTATTGAAACGTTTTCTATCGCAAGTTTTTACTTCAACCTCGTTTTCTCCTAATTTCGATTATTAACTTATACCTTGCGATACATCGTTTTAAAGAGGAGATTTAGAGCTTTAATTTAAGATATAAATCATTTTTTCATTGCTAGAAATAGACCGGAAGTGATTTTTTAAAATAGACATAATCGAAACGTTTTCTATCGCAAGTTTTTGCTTCAACCTCGTTTTCTCCTAATTTCGATTATCACCATATACTTTGCGAAGTATCGTTTTAAAGAGGAGATTTTGAGCTTTAATTTGAGACATGAATTATTTCTTCATTACTCGAAATAGACCAAAAGTGATTTTTTTTAAATTGACATCGATCGAAACGTTTTCTATGACAAGTTAGGAGAAAACGAGGTTGAAGTAAAAACCTCGTTTTCTCGTAATATCGATTATTAACATATACCTCGCGATGCATCGTTTTAAAGAGGAGATTTTAAGCTTTAATTTATGATATAAGTCATTTCTTTATTGCTAGAAATAGAACGGAAGTGATTTTTTAAAATTGACATAATCGACACGTTTTCTATCGGAAGTTTTTACGTCAACCTCGTTTTCTCCTAATTTCGATTATTAACATATACCTTGCGATGCATCGTTTTAAAGCGGAGATTTTGAGTTTTAACATCAGACATAAATCATTTCTTCATTGCTAGAAGTAGACCGGAAGTAATTTTTTAAAATTGATATAATCGAAACGTTTTCTATCGCAAGTTTTTTCGTCAACCTCGTTTTCTCCTAATTTCCATTATTAACATATACAATGCGATGTATCGTTTTAAAGAGGAGATTTTGATCTTTAATTTAAGATATAAATCATTGCTATAAATAGACCGGAAGTGATTTAAAACAAAATAAAAAAATTAATAATAGTCATTAAATTTATCGTTTAGAACAATTTATTTAAACGTTAAAATTTGTCTTCAACACATTGAAACATTTAACAACATCATTTAATGTAGCTATCTCTACGTNTTGATATTAGAGGGACACTTTTTTAGCCCTTCTGAGAACGACCCAAATAGGCGTTAGGCTCGTGAAATGAATTATTGGTGTGCTTTGGTCGTTAATGTATGGTGTGAAATTATTAATTTTGACTTCAACCTCGTTTTCTCCTAATATCGATTATTAACATATACCTTGCGATGCATTGTTTTGAAGAGGAGATTTTGAGCTTTAATTTGAGACGTAAATCATTTCTACATTGATAGAAATAGACCGGAAGTGATTTTCTAAAATTGACATCGACAAGTTTTCTATCGCAAGCTTTTATTTCAATCTCGTTTTCTCCTAATTTTGATTATTAACATATACCTTGCGATGCATCGTTTTAAAGAGGAGATTTTGAGCTTTAATTTAAGACATAAATGATTACTTCATTGCTAGAAAGAGACCGGAAGTGATTTTTTTTAAATTGACATAATCGAAACGTTTTCTATCGGAAATTTTTACTTCTACCTCGTTTTCTCTTAATTTCGATTATTAACATAAACCTTGCGGTACATCGTTTTAGAGAGAAGATATTTAGCTATAATTTAAGATAGAAACCATTTCTTCATTGTTAGAAATAGACCGGAAGTGATTTTTTAAAGTTGACATAATCGAAACGCTTTCTATTGCAAGTTTGTATTTCAACGTCATTTTCATCCAATTTCCATTATTAACATATACCTGGCGATGCATCGTTTTAAAAAGGAGATTTTGAGCTTTAATTCAAGATATAAGTCGTTTTTCTATTGCTAGAAATAGACCGGAAGTGATTTTTTAAAATTGACATAATCGAAACGTTTTTTATCGCAAGTTTTTACTTCAACCTCGTTTTCTCCTAATTTCGATTATTAACATATACCTTGCAATGCATCGCTTTAAAGCGGAGATTTTGAGCTTTAATTTAAGATATAAATCATTTCTTCATTGCTAGAAGTAGACCGGAAGTAATTTTTTAAAATTGATATAATCGAAACGTTTTCTATCGCAAGTTTTTACGTCAACCTAGTTTTTTAGTCATTTCGTTTATTAACATATACCTTGCGATGCATCGTTTTAAAGAGGAGATTTTTAGCTTCAATTTAAGATACAAATCATTGATTCATTGCTAGAAATAGACCGGAAGTGATTTTTTAAAATTGATATAATCGAAACGTTTTCTATAGCAAGTTTTTTCGTCAACCTCGTTTTCTCCTAATTTCCATTATTAACATATACAATGCGATGTATCGTTTTAAAGAGGAGATTTTAAGCTTTAATTTATAATATAAATCATTTCTTTATTGCTAGAAATAGAAAGGAAGTGATTTTTTAAAATTGACATAATCGACACGTTTTCTAGTGCAAGTTTTTACGTCAACCTCGTTTTCTTCTAATTTCGATTATTAACATATACCTTGCGATGCATCGTTTTAAAGCGAAGATTTTGAGCTTTAACATCAGACATAAATCATTTATTCATTGCTATAAATAGACCGGAAGTGATTTAAAAAAAAATTAATAATAGTCATTAAATTTATCGTTTAGAACAATTTATTTAAACGTTAAAATTTGTCTTCAACACATTGAAACATTTAACAACATCATTTAATGTAGCTATCTCTACGTCTTTTTCATTAAATTTATTTTCAACTTTCATAATTTAATGCAACATTTAAATCTAATTGAAAACACAATTTAGGTGCTCAAATTTTAATGTTCTACATCTGTGTACTAAGAGTTACTATCCATTTATAAAAAACGTAGATCCTCTTAAAATCCTTAAATTAAAATTTTGTTTTATAATCTTTAAATTAATCTAAATGTATTAAGTAACTCACCTTAGCTAATGCAACTTGAGATATTTGCCCAAATAAACGTGTTTCCATCACAAGCGATTTTTGACTCATTGTGAGTATGATCAACAAATCTTTTCGTGTTGATACATCCGCATCGTACCAATTCATGTTGTAAATTGCTTCCGAAATACCATCGGCCTATTATTAAAAAGATTAAAAAACTTTTTATTAATAAAATAATAAGAATGAGTTATTCATACCGAAGTAGTAAATCTTTGTCCGATTGTATACCACACGAAGATCGTTAAGAAAGTGATGAAGGCCATGGAAAAGTTTAATACATCTTTTTTCTGAAAATATTAAGTTTATTAATTTGGCTAAACGATACGATAAGATTCAAACCTGCGCGAATACAGCGGTGGACATAGTTAAGCAAAGCGTAGGAAAAATTTTTACTGGGATGAGAAACCCAGTAAAGAACTCGTTAACGAATTGAAACAACCTAAAATCGTTATAATCAAACTACTTTAGTAATAAAATAATTTCTAAAATTACAATACCTGAAAATTTCTTGATGATACAAGATAATAGGTCGCAACATTATAAAGTTTCTCTTCCTATTCCCGGTGAATTTTATATTATTAATCAACTCTTTAATATGTTCTATTCGCACAATCAATAATTCCACCGAATACCAATACAATATTAAAATAATCATAAAAATGTTCAGCGTAACATTCGTAGTATATATTTGAAAAAACATTAATAAAGTCATTACAGATCGTGTCAAATCAAAAGGAACGTAAAACTCAACCATTAAGCAATACTTCGTATTCTTAAAAATTGCGCAATTATGATCCCACATAATCAGATACGTCATATAAAACGAAGTAAAAAGTACTCCATAACGAGTAATGTTTAAGATAAGTTTCATGTTTTTCTCAACTATCTTAAATTTTTCAGGGATACCGTATTCTTTAAAACCACTTAATAAATGAATCAGCTTAAACAAACTACGTTGTTGACTCAATAATTGAACATTATAACAAAGAAGTGACGCCCCCAACACGTAATACTCCATATGAAAGAAACATTTTAAAATATTCTCCTTGAATTCTAAGATGAATAAAATTTAATATATAACGTATTTGTTTTCAACCTTATTTTATTTACCTTTAATTTCTATGATAAACGGATAAGTTGCCCAAACCACATTAAGACTCATCAAAATGATTGGTCCGCATCCTCGAAGTCCTTTCGATGTGGGCCAAAAACTATATCCGCGAGAGTATTGTTCTAAAAGATGAAAACCGAGTGTTTTTTTCATGGTGAACTCGACCGATTTGATGCTAGAGAATCCACGGAATGCAATTGGAGATGAAGAGCGTAACATATATACATATATTAATATAACATTAGTATTAATAATTGAATCATGAGTATTGATTTACGATCACTGGAACGATTTACATCCGAAAGAATTGGATTGTGTAATCGAGATCTACTAATGTTGCGTCTAAACATTGTGTTTACAACGTTATGTCTTCATGTTAATAACAAAATTGTTGAGGTAGTATATAAATTATGATAAATATTTTGTAATCTTTATTAGAAACTTAGATACGACTATTTCATAGCGATATGTAAACAATTAATTCAGTTTTTTAGGATCCTTTTGAATGTTTTTTATGCATTTCTCTTTATTACTTTTAGTTTTTGATTATAAAGTTTTTGAATATAAGTTGTTAACTATGAGCGATGGGTTACAATCTTATGGATAATGGTTTTCAGGTTTAATAAGAACAATTTTTATTTGAAACATTTTCCTCCACCGTTTCTAATTTGCTATTTGAAATCAATCTTAATTAGTAAAAACGTCAAATTTGTGACAACTTGATCTTTTATCTTATAAGTTGGTAATTATGGACGATGGATTAAAATCATATATCGTTTTTGGGATCTGTAGCGCATTACGCACTCTATTTATTTTTATATATAATCATAATGTTATATCACCATGGGTTGTTATATCAACATAATGTATTTTCCCATGGCGATTTTGTTATAGTTATAAAATAATAAATAAACAGATAGACACACATAAAACAGTCTATCAAATACTCCATTTTAATTTTTAATATTTTATTATACGATTAATTAATATAGAGTTACAAATAAATATACTCTATAGGATCCTTTCGAATGTTTTTTTTTTAAACATTTCTTTTCATTCCTTTTAGTTTTTGATTCATCGCCTATTTTGATGTCGAAAACGTCTAATTTGGGGAATTTTCGAAAGTAAACAATATAAGTTGGTAACTATGTGCGATGGGTTAAAATCTTTTATGGATAATGGTTTTTGGGTTCAATAAGAACAATTTTTATTTGAAACATTTTCATCCATAGTTTCCAATTTGCTACTTAAAACCAATCTAAATTAGTTAAAACGTCAAATTTGTAACAACTCGATCGATTTTCTCTTTTAAGTTGGTACTTATGGACGATAGATTAAAATCGTTTCTCAATGAAGTTTTCTGAGATCCTTTCGAATGTTTTTTATGCAAACATTTCTTTTAGTTTTTGATTCATCGATTGATTTGATATCGAAAAGGTCTAATTTGGGGGATTTTCTAATATAAGCAATATAAGTTGGTAGCCATGAGCGATGGATATAAATCCTTTATATACAATGGTTTTCTAGTTTAATAAGAACAATTTTTATTCGAAACATATTCGTCTATCGTTTTTAATTTACTACTTAAAAGCCATATTGATTAGCAAAAACGTCATATTTGTGACAACTTAATTTTTTGTCTTACAAGTTGGTAATTATGGATGATCAGTTAAAATCGTTTATCGATTAAGTGTTTTGGGACCCCTTAGATTATTTTTTAAACAAACATTTTTTTTCATTCTTTTTACTTTTTGATTCATCTCCTACATTGATGTCGAGAACGCCTAAATTTTGGGATTTTTTGAATATAAGCAATATAAGTTGGTAGCTATAAGCGATCGGTTAAAATTATGGATAATAGTTTTCGGATTTAATAAAAACAATTTTTATTTGAAACATTTTCGTCCATCGTTTCTAATTTGCTATTTAAAACCAATCTTTATAAGCAAAAATGTCAAATTTGGGACAATTCGATTTTTTGACTTATAAGTTGGCAATTATGGACGATGGATTAAAATCGTTTATCGATTAAGTTTCATGGGATCCATAAGAATATTCTTTTATCCAAACATTTCTATTCATTCCTTTTAGTTTTTGATTCATCGCCTATTTTGATGTCGAAAACGTCTAATTTGGGGAATTTTAGATTCTAAGCAATATAAGTTGGTCACTATGAACGATGGATTTAAATCCTTTACAGATAATTATTTTTTGAGTTTAATAAGAACAATTTATATTTGAAACATTTTCGTCCATCGTTTCAAATTTGCTACTTACAGCTAATCTTGATAAGCAAAAACGTCGAATTTGTGACAACTCGATTTTTTTGTATTATAAGTTGGTAATTATGGACGATAAATTAAAATCATTACGATATGTAAGCCATAGAAAATAGTATATTATTCAACAAGCGTATAATGGCGGCTGTTACCCACGAAGAAGAAGTTGCCACACGAGCGAGCGAAGCGAGCGAGTGTTGTAATCTGAGTGGGTAACATCCATTATACGCAAGTTGAATACTATACTTTATCTACAACTATTTAATTTTGAAAAAAAAATCAAAAAAACGAAAAAAAAATAAACTTGATAGACATTTCAGACATAACCTCAATATAAGAAAGCTGTCATTTCTGTTAATATTTTATTTTTTNGAGTACCACGAGAAAAAAAGAAAGGAAATTTGGCGTAATGTTTTGGTTTGTAGTTTTAAATTTCCCGCTTGACTTTCGAGCCAAAATGGCGTCAAACCGCGGTACTTTGTAAATCTAGGGACTTTAATTTTTTGGTACATTCATCGCTCCCAAGGGGATTGTGAGGGAAGTAATTAGGTTAAAGCGCGCAATTTAAATATAGGTATTTCTATACCGGTTTATACCAATACTTTATTTTGAAGAGGTCAAGTACATTTTACAAATAAATGCAAAAAAATATGGATTTAAAGTTTTTCCAAGATAAAATTCATAATTTTAAATATAATATACATTGCTCTCATTGGCTAAGGCTCGTTACTACCATCTTCTGGTTAGGCTATCTAAGGGATTATTACCACGGTTACAGCTATTTTACACGCTCAGATTGGCTAGTAGATAGGTTTATCTATAAGATAAATTTAACTAAAAGATGGTAGTAATGGACCTTAGGCTCGTTACTATCATCTTCTGGTTAAGCTATCTAAGGGATTATTACTACCGTTACGGCTACTTCACGCGCTCTGATTGGCTAGTAGATGGGTTTATCTATAAGACAAATTTAATTAAAAGATCGTAGTAATGGACCTAAGAGCGCCAATTTATGTATCTATCGGATAAACTTATGAAGAGGTGGTAAAAGTGGCCCTAACTTATTTAAACACTTAACTAAAGAATATAAAACATTAAGCCAAAGGAAAGTAAGGAAGAATATTTGCTTATACAACGGGGTTATCAGGAGTTATCACACCAAACGACAAAACAAAAATGTGACGTTTGCTTTCGTTTGCCTTCTTTGAGCCCTTTGAGTTTGACGTTACATATAAATTTTTCTATGGCTACAATCGCTTTGTTTGTGTAGATAATGCAGATTGCTACAAATTCAGTCTACAACGTCATCCGGTGGATTGTGAGGGTACTAAAACCTGGGTCTAGATTTTTATAGTAGTAAGATTGCACACCATGATGTAAGCTTTAACACCGTTCAATAATTCTATTGGGTTGGAGAACTTTTTTGTCAAAAATGTATTCAAGATGTACATTTACCATTTTAATTTCTGTTTGTAGATGCAATATAATTTGCGCGAGACGACGTATTCAAGCAACACCATGTGATAATCCTAAATCCACCCAGATTGTTAAAGTATGTTGTGCAACATCGTTTCTTAGATAATGTTTATACTTGGCCGTCAACTTCTTAGTTTGGTTGTTGGGTTCACCACTAACATCAGCAAACTATCTCATTTTACTGGAACGTGCATCCTGGATTTTTTTTTTTGGGAAACAATTAATGATGTTTTATGCTACACACTCTTTCTTTCGTCAATGGCGCTACAGCCCAAATTGAGCATTAGCTTCCTTTAGCTTTTGCCCCAAAGCTCATCAAGATCAAGAGCTATTTCGTAGCCTCCGTCTTGTTTTTTTTTGTCTTACATTTTGCCTGTTAGGAGCCTTTTTGGCATTCTATCCTCACTCATTCTTGCCACATTTCAAGCCCATTGCAGTCTTTGCTTGCGAATTCTGAAAGAATTTTATCATAATTAATGTTCAGTACGCATCCATAGCACAGTATTGGTCTAATGATGGTTGGGTTGTTATTGCATATATTTGGATGAAATGCGGAAGCTGTGCAATATTCGGTAAAGTCGTTTCCTATTGATATCATATCATCG